TAAATTAAAATGTATATAAGTACGGAGTGTGTGTGTTTTTGCGATAACGTGTAAACGTCGTATATAATATATTTTTCTCAACGCCATTTATCTCGGGGTGAGATTCGTCGTAGGACGACGGACGACCGAAGATTTCCGGCTCATTGTGTCTGGACCACCTTGTGTAGGTATATTATATATTTATATACACACACGACGGAGACTAATTAAACGGTTATTTTTTTCTTTCTCTTCTTTATAAACGACCGGGCAAACGATAACATCGAAAGTATCGATTTTACATATCATATGTAGGTATTATGCGCGACATACGATGTATATAATTATTATATATACGTCTGCTTCCTTCTATTTCTCTGTTTCTCTCAATGTATACATTTAATATAATATATACTTAACAGCCTATTATATATACTTATGACGCACTATATTGTTGGAGTTGTTATAGGATTGTACGCCACGCGAGAAATGAATAAAAAAGAAAATTCACGCCGATACGTGTATTATACATGAATACGTCGCTTACCTATTTCGTCGTCATCAGTATTATAATATATAATACGTAGTATACCTGCGGGATGCTCCTTACAATGTAAATAGAGAGCTCACGAACTGTAAATACCTTATCATAAAATTATCATTAATCATGCGTTCGGATAAAATAAAAATCCACCGGAGTCGTGATCCGTATTATAACGATTATCCTCTAAGAAGACGACATTATATTTCAAGTATATACACATATGCACACGTCTATAAAATTCCATAGTCTCATTCGTGTCCTTTTTTGAAAAAATACCGCTACTTATACGTGTAACGTGCAATAAAACCTTCAACGGAAAATATTTGTCGATTTACATAAAATATTATATGTTTATTTGAAAACAAAATTATGGTGTCACCGGCGGCAGTGGTTGAATCTCGGTATGCCACTGTGCCAGGATTGTATATAAAATATAAATAACGTGACATTATAATGTTATTCTATTATACTATATACTGCCTGCATACCTATACAATATTATTATATAGATACCAACTATGCACACCATTCGAGATATTATACCGACACGTAATATTTCTACGGATAAATTAAAGGACATCATATTATTGTATAGATGAAAAAATAAAGAACGTCGACAACTTTATACTATTTGTTTCGAATTTGAAAATCCAGTCATATACGCATAACATCGTTATCAATATTCTTGAACAATACGTGTACGACGTATCAATCGAGTTCCGTCGTAAATATTACCAGCTAGTATACCCATACYCCATACCTATTCGTAATACACTGCACCGTGCATGCTATCGTACGTATATACTATTATATATATATTATATTACATAATATACAACAATATAATATTATGTGTGTGCACCATGCACGGTCTTCGAGTAAGTATTTGTGTGTGTGTGTGTGTGTGTTTCTCTCTATATATCCACCTGCACATCGCGCGCACCGTCTCTCTGATTTCGTCCAACAGACAATACTCTATAAATACGTGATGCACTTGGTAATGATCAAATGCACGCACGCAGTACAAATGTGTACCCATAATATAATGTAATCTCAACCCTCCATACGTCGGTCGTCGTCGTATTTGTCTAAGTTTATACATGTATATACGCAATACGCATATTATATACGACTACATATATACATATGCATATACCGTCCCTCTACAACCTATACCAAGTCGCATCGTACTGTAGTCGTATATAATATGCGTATTTCGTATATACATATATGCTGTATATTATCCATACAATACCCTATCTATTAGGGGGCCATCAATCTTCGTTAAGTGCATTTCTTGTGTACGTATACCTACACTATATATACATTATACACAGTATACTCGCATTATAAATTATTATTATACACAGGTACCACGTCGCATTCGTCAGAATCACACGAACGCGAGGAAATTTTGTTTTTTTTCCTTACCATAACCAACATTATATCATTATTACACTGCACTGGATTAGTGACAGTGAAAGGCTCAACGGAATACCGAGCATCGGTGCTATATTGGTATATATTATGACGTGTTTACCTAAGTATAACTGCAACAGGAACATAATGTCGTCGAATCAACGTGTCGCATAATGTTATATTTTATTCAGTGGTGCATATTATATTATTGTGACCGCCCGATGTTAGGTTGATACTTGTTTATATTTCATTCTATTGCGTGCGATTTGTAAACGACTATAATAATATCTACGTGTACAACTATACCTACCCATACAATACAACTGACAAAGATCGCGAATGCATAAAATATAGTTAAATGTGCGTGTGTATAAAAAGGGTGCAAGTATTTTTATTACGGCGACGACCGCTCACGAGACGAAACATCCACTTCAAACGCCTACGTACGGCACAATGTTTTATGACTGTTGGCTCGAAAATACACTTATTTTTACTTTAAAACGATATTAAATTAGTTGTTTACAAAATAAAATAAAAAATACTCTGTTGAACACCGAGAGAAGAAACGGAGGAAAACTTGTAGAAAAATCCCAACCTATATTGACGAAACGCCAAAAGCGTATATTTTATAATATTATATGTTACGCAACATAGTCTTTTAAATGCGTTGGCTATAAATCTCGATACGACTCAAACCACTGTGCGCCGCATAATATACCTCGAGTTCGATAAAAAAAAAATAATAATAATAAATGTTATTTTTTCGTATAATATGTGTGTAATATATTATCATACCATATGGGTTTKGAATATTTTGATCTTGTTGAAAAAAAAAATATAGATACACCCCGCACGTCTGATGAATGTACAATTAATGATGACACATTGTACTAGACTTGCGACTCGAAGACCGCTAAATGTTTATATTAAATGTATAAGTACATGTATATAATAATATATGCATGTCGGTGTGCACTCTTTGATTTTTTATACCATGATATAAATTAATAATGTACCCTATGGATATTATAATAATGTACACGGTCGTGTGATGGTTTGCAATAATTTTACAAGCAAATAAAACACGCGGGTCTTCCGCGAGGAGACACATCTTGTCATTGATAACCAACGTTTCTTTTTCTTGAAATATATATATATATATATATACACACACACGATAACATATTATACATAATATTTTATATAGGTACTTTAATAATATGTAAGGTGGCGGCGGTTTACCTCGGCACAAAAGCGGTGAAAAAAAACCCATTAAAAATACGAAAACACCCACCAGATCCCTGTGGGCGGTTTTGATATTACACTGCACTCGTAATATATATATAAATGTGTGTGTGTATATAGGCGATTAGACCAAAAGAGTAGCGCGGTCATTTCATATTTCCTAAATTACATTGTCCGATTTCAATGTCAAAAACATGAGGCCCCCGGTCGGGTTAACATCTCTTCGAGCGCCGCCCACACGCAGATTTTTATCAAACGACTGCGCAGRATACCTACTTCACTTTTTATTTTTATTTCCCATTGTTAACGCKCGTGTCATGTTATTATAATATATCTATAATCTATTTTACGATAATGCGTATTAAGACGTTTATAGTATTGCAAACCCTCTATCTCTATCGCTCATATTGTTAGATTTACCGACAAGATTGACAAATATCGTTGCTAATAAAAGTCAAAAGTACACTGTACAAACGTAATCATGATTTACCTAACAAAAGTAAACATAATTGTGATTTGTGGCAATTTTAAAATCGACTTCAAACGGCGATTCGTATAAAATTGAAATAAATATAACATGTGGTGGGAAGGTGCGCTACTACGGGTCATACTGACCATATAGGTACTGTCATTACTGGTTTCACGAGTATCTACGGTGCATACAGGCTGCGGGGGAACAATCGTCAGTCGTGGTTTGCGATAAAAAACTGAATACCGTTTTTGGTTACTACACATGATTGTTTGAAATTGAACCCCAAAGTCAGTCGTTGATAAACGTTATTGAAATTATATACTTAATCATAATACAATTTATGCTACAACGCTCCTCTGTGTGGGTGTACCTAATACCGATATCGATAGTTTCATCGGGAGTATATACTTTATAGTCCCTGTAAGGTCGGTAATGACAGCCAAACTGAAAAAGGTATTCCCACATGGATCAGTAATAAGTGTCACAAAACAAAATATGTTCTTATTGACAATAAACGACATCCTCTGAAAAATATAGAACCCCAGAAAACATAATATATGATCGGTATATATATTGCTATAGAAATAACACGAACACTATACATTAAAAATCATAATACAGCCATCATTGCATACTTTTAAAAACTGGTCCAATGAAACTTACTTTAAATTTAAACAAAAACTATTTCAAATCCTATAAAAAATAACATATATGTAGGTACCCACCAACGAAGTCAAAGATTATATTTATAAAAAAAAAAATGTCTCGTCTTAGAAAAATAACTGATATTCGATACCAAAATTACACAAGCTCAAAAATATTTTTAATTAAAACAATCATATAATGGCACCATACTCCAACCAATTTCAATCGACAACAAGACATTGCAATCACTCGCATCAGAATCTGATACCCCTCCCTCACACATTCGTATTTAGTAAGTAAAGAACCTCAACTAATATGAGACATCCTACAAAATACACACGGTGAAGGAATATTAACAATAAACTTCAAGTCTAAAATCTTAAAATTAAAAAAAGGTTGGTAATATACATACATATACAGTGAAATCTCCTTTAACGGACACCTCTCAATAGCGGACACCTCCAAATAGCGGACACCTCCAAATAGCGGACGACGTTTAAGCGACCGAGAGTGTCCGATATATAGAGGTTTCACTGTACTAGGTATCTATAGTATAATATTTCGAGTGTCTTATCAACTATAATACTTATCAGCTTAGGGTTCAACTCGATTTTCATGTTTCTCGTTTTGTTTCAAATAGGATAATGATATTATATAAAGTATATCAAGCATATATTTGATGAATAATAGACTCACTTGAAAACTCTGCTCGGTCGAAAACGTACACGAACTATTCCAGCTGGCTGAACTGTTTCGAGATGATACCTCTTGCACCACCCGCAGCCGAGCCACGTGATCATTCATTTTGCTATTAGGTTTTGCCGATATCTGAAAACATTCCCAAAACGAAGGAAATTATTAATACATTCATCGCGTGCGTGGAATAAAATGTTTAAGATTTTTCAAACACGTAGGTAATATTCAACTAATCCAACATGTAAATATACATACACATGTATACACAACATATGTTTAAAACAAATACTATGCGTACGCCGATCATGGATTGTACATATATAATATATATGTAGTATGTACTTTTCACATTGCACTATATTAACCTATAATATGTAAATTTAGTTTAGTGTTATATATAGATATATAGGGGTCAACATCTCACAATAATTATAGATAAATAAAATAATGAGGCGAGCAATAAAAATTTGGATTAGTCTACTAAAAACCAGTTTTTACGACGGACAGCGTTATAAAAAAAAAAAACACATACATAATATATATACCTATTATACATTATAGATATATATTATGTTTCAACAGAGATATATAATATAATATATGATATAAGTTCATTGCAGGTATACATATAGTATTGTTTTTGATGCAGGTACAAAATCACTAGGTGGACTGGCTGGTGATGCATTTTATCAACTAAAATAAAAATAAACTATTTGATCTGTGAAGTTATTATTATATTATATACGCTCTTCGCRTTTAACAACCCAATTGACTGTGTCATATTTATTTGTGATTATTTTTCATATAACTATACAACTTTTGTGTTTTTTTTTTTTGAAACCCGTTATTCGGCAAGCTAGCGGTACATCGGCAATAAACCCCAAAACGTAACATATTATGATAGTGCCTTAGAGCCTATAAAAAGTGGACAGCCGCGAGTGTTTCCCGGTCATCTGCATCTGATGACAGTAAAATCATACACGTTAATAAACATGATATTGTTTGGTTAGGTGAAAATATACACGTGACCGCGAGATTTACATACCGTGCGAAAATAATTGTCACACGATATGGTTTTTAATACCTATCTTTTATGTTTTTAGACAAAGTCGATATAACTTGATATTTTTAGCATTAACACGGCCTGTTGCCATTGAATTTGATCATCCCATTTTGTTCAAATTTATATATATATATAAATACAAAGCATGTATAATATTTCAAAAAAACCACGAAATATAGACCAGAGACCTAGGTATAAAATATGTTTTATTTCGATAGTACGATACTCATATATTTTATACTCGCCATGTCTGTACATATTGCAGTATAAGAAAAGAAATAATATGTGAATACAATATTTAATACATAAAAATACATTTTTGTAATAATCTTTTATACCATTGATTTTTCTGAGTCCAATATTATTTTAGAGAACATTTCTTACTGTATTTTATTATGGTATAGTAATCGATATTGCAAGTGTTATGCAACCATGTAAGACAATTTAAATTAATTTACTTCCTTGGCGATTCTGCGCGTGGGTTTGATTAACGCGTATTTATTATAGCTAGGTTATAACTTTATAAGTTATAACAAGATTATGCGGCATACCTATAGGTACCTATTTGACCTATTGATATATATATATATATATATGAGATGTTAACTTTAGGTATTAACCCAAATGACTACCAAATCTAAGAAATCCTATTAAGTTTTAATTGTTTTTACTACCAAGGAATCACGATGGGTATTATAATATTATAATACAACTGTCTATCAGCAGTCATCTATGACGCATATTTTTAATTGTTTGATGTTACATGAACCAACYGTGTGCGTTCATAAAGCATTGTATTTTTARTTTGCAGTAAACGTTTAACATCGGGAGGCTTTCGTGYGGAAAATCATAAATAATGAGTTACGTACAATTCTCATGACTKATATTGTAACCCCGATGTGATCAATGTAGTGTAAGTTTGTAGTTACGTGTGGTTATTAATTTAGAAATTAAAATGCGGTAACGTAATCGGCGCATTATGAGAACCGCGTGCATGGAGATTAGACACGAATAGTAGTTATGAGTACCTGCCACGCACGGAGGTGACAGTGGTTGGTGGTAAGTGTTAAATTAGAAAATATACGAAAGTACCTACCTAGTACCCACTAAATATATTATATTAACTATATACCTGCTATAAGATAAACATAATATATTTAAGTATTGAGTTTGGTGTTCAAATTATTGATTATTAATTGAAATATAGGTATACTAATAAGTAATAATACACTAAGACTAGTAAGACTTAGGTAGTAAATTGAATGGAAGTATGACARTTAAAATAACTTTTTAATGGACATTATATATGAGAAATGTCCATTGATATTACTCAAAAGATAAACATGTAAGTATATAACAGTATATGTACCTATGTAATAAATAATAATTATAATAGATAACTTATTATTATACAACTACAAGATAGAATAATAATAAAAAATTAACAAGACTTTTATAATTTATCTGAGCTCAAATTATTATTTTTTTTTTTCATAGGCACCATACTTGATATAGCATGCATAGTATGGTGTTTTTATTTTTTCTATATTATTATTTAATTATACATTTTACTATTGTAACATATAGTTAAAACGTTAAAAGGTCCCCGAAATTTTATATATTACAACTTCAACATTAAATAATTAATTATATTACGATTACAGTCGTTATCGGTATTGTAATATGGTTTAACGATATTTATAATTAACCTATTATATATTTAACGTGATGTGAAAAATGTTATTTGGTCTACCTGTGATTGTATAGTTTTATTATGTATTAATCAATTTATCATGAACCTATTCAAAATAACATTAAAAATATGGCACGATGTAGGAGGACTYCCAATGGAGCTATATCTACTTGGATAAATGGAGGAGGTCTCTAACCCATTTTCGTTTGAGTCTTCGTGCGGGGTTGTCTGGGATGTGATGTGTTGCAAGATAACTAATGTTGGGGTTCCTATGGGAGCTAAATTTTTTGTGAAGTTTTTGGTGAGCGATTTTAGTGACTTGGTTTACGTAGTTTATTTTCAGGTCTGAGTGTAGGGTTTTGTTAYATACCAGGGGTATTTTGTAATAGTGCGAAGGCAGATGGATTGGAATGATTGAATTTTTTGTATGTTACTTGGAACGGCATTACCCYAAATTTGTATATCATAATACCAAAAGGGAAAGATTAACATTTTKTAAATAAGGATTTTGAGTTTCAAGTTTAATTTTGATCGTAAGAGTAAATGTAGTAAATGTAATCTGGAGTTCAGTTTTTTTCTTTTGTCGAATATGTGGTTTTTCCAAGTTAATTATTCGTCGAAAATGAGCCCTAAGTATTTAATTTGGTTGGTTTGAGGTAATAATTGGTTGCAAAATTTAACTGGTGGACAGTTGTTTGGGCGAAGGGAGAAAGTGATGTGGCTAATTTGTTTGTATTAATTTTTATTTTCCATAGTGTGAACCAATTTTCGTCAAGATATCTAGAGTAAAAGACTGTAGTAGGTATGTTAAACTTTATTTAAAGCGTATGGCTTTTATTTTCATTGCTACGCAAATACGCTATTGCGCCATTGTTCATTAGTTAATTTGGTTGTAATAATAAATTATCGACATGTATGATCATGATGTATCGGTTATAATTTATCATTCGATAATTTCCCTTTCTAATTCTCACAAGGTCCCTGTTTCAATTCATAATATATTACGCCCAGTATTTGTATTAGAAATAAACGCTATATCTCCGATTTTATCCTAATAATTTTATTAATTTTAGTAATGCATTATATTTGCACTTTAAAAATTCGAACAAATTTTAAACTTTAAACTTTTTCATATCAATATTATAAAAGTTGTTAAATAGTAAAAATCGAAATGTGTATTAACTGGTTTCAATGTTGATTACTTATTTGAATATATCAACTGGTCACCAAAAACGTGTTATGCTGTACAATGAAAAAAGTGCTTTAGTTGGTAAATTAAACGATTGATAGAAATATTTATGATGATGTGTTGTTAACAAAAAAATGTATTATCATATTTTTAGAGCGTAAAATAATATTATGTTTGAAAGTATCTTTAAACTGCATACTATAGATATATGTTCATATTTCGCACTATTTCTGAACGGATTGCGGTCGTCAGTTAATGCGATAAGTAATATTAAAAAATGAAGATCAATATAACATCATATAAGTATTACAAAACTATCACTATTCATTGTGATAAAAGATGTGTTCTTAAGATTTCATGTAAAAAAAACCAATCATCACGTATGGATATGAAAAATTCTATTAGAAATTTGCGCTGGGGTTTCGCATCGAAACATTATCAACCGTTTCCAATTTGAATCAATGGTTACTGGTTTGGTACGTCAACATATTATAATATTATTGATGTGTTTCGTTTAAATAAAATAAGGGCAACTATAGAATATTCATTTTTTTGTTTTTCATATATGTTATACCTTACACACTTTTAACCAAATGATGCGCATTTAACATGGTATTTTTATGCCTTCGTTCTCTGTAGATTTGATTACATAATACCACAATCCGTGTATAGATYGTGTATTATATACATACATATTATATTGTGCGTTTGAACGTGTTGCACATGCGTAGTCTAAAATAGTATCGAAATCTTTCGGAGATGCGACCGCGATTTGATTATACGTAGATAATCGTTGGGCGGAGTTGTAAAGATTTTCAGCGTTTATTCTTATTTTTTTTTTTCAAATTGTAGTTTATACCAGAATAATATTATACAGGTATATACCRAGCCCCACCGAGGTAATAATATAATATGCTCTTCATTGCAGGACTCGTCGTCGTCGACGTATATATTATAATAATGTACATAATGTGTAACGTGCAGAGTGAGTGCGCGAGCACAGGGCTCTACACATAATACACGCACGACGAATTTGGCGGCACTGAATTATCGAGTTTAACAATCGGGTTTAAGCACGGCGGGGTCGACGACTGTTTGAATTATGGGAGGTTTGAATCAAATTTCGAACGTCTTGTTACATCACAAGCTGTATATAGAGACCGTGTATTAATGGTACTTATATACAT